TGGCTGGTCAGATGTGCCAACATTTTCATTTACATACTGCCACCAGTGATGGGCAGGGCCTCCCGGAGCTGCTGGAGTGTTGTCCTGAAGACCATGAAAAGGTTCTGGCTTGTTGCTCGTCGAGGAGCAGTGGTTTTAATTTTGTTTCTCCCCAGAACCGTGCTTACAGCTCAGGTACCACACGCACGCCCCGTCGGCAGGGCAGGAGCCGCCAGCTCGCTCCTTTCCTCGTGGTAGCAAGCGGAAAAACCAAACATCCCGCAGGGCCATGCAGTCCTAAACCCTCACGGCATCAACCCCGTGCGCGGCCTCTGACCGCCCTTTGCTTTCGGTCCCCTCCGTCGCGGGCGAGCAGTCGGCAAACGGCAGGGTGCTGCTGCTGCCACCGCGCTTCGGGAGCGATGGGTACGGGCACCTGCAGAGGCGCACCTCGATTTCGGAGCACCAGGGAGGGGCTCCATCCACCTGATGCGACCACGCAGGCCGTTTGCTTGCCGAAGTTGCCGGGCGGCTCTCTCCATCGTGGCTATCTCCCAGTATCCGCTTCGCCAGTTCTGCCCCCAGCCCCGGTCCCCCAGCCCAGCTGGGAGGGAGCGAGGGCAGAGGAGCCCGTCCCAGCGCCCTGCCTGCCCCCATGCCACCTTGCCGCGGTTCTGGTGACAGTCATTTTCGTGGCCATGCGTAGCCGTGGCTTCCCAGGAAGCTGGGAGCCTCCTCCGGGACCCTTCCCTTGTCTGCCTGGGAGGGCCGGGACCCGGCCGCCACCACTGCCCTGCCCGCGGGATTGCTGGGCTCCCGAGCTGGGGGATGGGGGTGAGGAGCCAAACCCAGCTCCCTGGTCTGCAGCCAGCAGAAGGGTTTCGTAATGCCGCCCAAAACAAGCCTGCACTTTTATATATAAGTGCTTTTTTTTCTGGTGAAATTTCCTTCAGTAAGAGAAGACACACGGCAGCATAACCTTCTTCTGCAGGACGCACTGACAAAATTAATGCTAATACTGATAGCTCCCCCTCCCTCCCGGTTTTTTTCTAAGCTCTTTGGGTCACCCTGACCTGTTCTGCCTGCTCTGGTTTACATTTGTTTTGAATGTCGGTTTAAAGGCAATTGTTAAAAACATGCGTGCTGTGAGTTTGTCCACGGTTCTTTCTCCCACACCAGCGAGGCAGAGCGTTTGGAAGCGCTTCCAAGCTCCCAGCAGTCGGTTGGACTGCCTGTGACTTCCCAGGCGCTTGCAGGGCGTAGCAGAGCCGGCTGTGACCTGCAGCTCCGGGTGTCCAAGGGGGGGGCACACGGAGCGCCTGCTGTAGGGCGCTCTGCTTTGGCATGGAACGGCAACGCGTCGAAGCACTTCGCTATCGATTGAGATCACCCTGACCTGCCGGCTGAGATCCATTAAACAGGATCTTCCCTCCCGATCAGCACGTAAAGACCAAGGGAAGGAGAAAAAAAACTGAAAAAACAACAAAAAAGGGATAATGCCAGTTTTGTGGGCTCAGTTCTGCTGGTGCATGGTCCTGCCTCTCCCACAGCACCAATTCCTACTGCGAGTGCAGGTGCCTGCATGGCTGCACGGATCCTGCCACCCCCCTGGCAAGGGATGCGTGCTGCTGTGCCCTGGCTGCACGGATCCTGCCACCCCCCCTGGCACGGGACATGTGCTGCTGTGCCCTGGCTGCACGGATCCTGCCAGCCCCCGCTGCACACAGAGCACCTGGACCCCTCCATCCTGCTCCAGCCTGCGCCCTGCACATCGCTCCGCCAGCGCAACTCCTGCTGATCTGCAGAGCTTTTTAAGGCGCCTCCGGCTCGTTTGCTGCCGGTGTGTTGTCACCTTGGCGTGCCAGGTCCCATAGGCTGTTCCCGTTGCGAGAACCCAGCGCCCCTGCCCTCGCCGGAGCTGGCAGCCCGCCTGTGTACCTCCAGCCTAGCGGCTGTGCTCCGTGTAGGTCCTGTCCTGGGGCAAAACCTCCCAAACGGGTACAATTCAGTTCACTCCATTGGTGGCAGGGCTCGAAAACTGCTGTGCTAGCCGCCGGCAGGCTGCAGAAGCCCAAGGCACGAGGCGTGCCTGTATGCAGCCCTAATTCAGGTCCAGTTCCTGCGGTTAAGGCAGAGCTCCTGCCTTACAGAAACACTTGCTATGGATGTAAGCGTTGCCAGCAGAGGAGAACCTGCCACGTTTTGCCACACGGCTGCAGTAGCTCGTTCCGTTCAGCATTGGGATAGATGCACCTTGTTTTTCATCTCATCTTGTCTGTCCTTGATTTCCAGGAACTGCGTCTTTAGCAAGCCTGTGCTTGCCAGATTGAAAAAAATACTGAATTTCTGTCCCTGCCCTGGGTATTTGTTGGCTGTGACTTAACCCTTCAGCCTGCTGCATAGCCACCAGGGTAGAATTCTTTACGCCCTTTCTCCGAGGTGCATTGCCCCGTCTTTACTAGTCTTACGGCTTCCGCAGTCGGCAAACACCTCCCTCGTACGGCGAACGTCTAGCCACGGTTTCCCGCTGTCAGCAGCGTCACTGCTTATGGGGCCAGTAAGATGCTCTCCAGGCCAGCGTTTTCCTCCTCCTGGCGCAGGATCCTGTTAGCCCTGTGGCCATCGAACCATCCTGCCAGCTCAGGCCTCCGTTTTCCCGTCAGCTTTTGCTGGGAGTCCAGGCTGCCAAGGCTGGAGTCCGACATTGGTTGAGTACGGCTCTTTTTGGGCTGCTGGCTGTATCTGCTTACAGCGACCTGGGCTTTCACAGGCCGAGCTTATCGGCAGACCCTACGCAGCCCGCCCAGCTGCCGGTCCTTAATGTTCATTGCTCTTTTCCCATCTCTGCGTTGTCTTGCAGGCTGTGGTAGAAACGGCCAATTTTCGGAATGACTGTAGAGCTTCACTAGCAAAGGGCCGGGAACTGCACTGGGGTCAGCCCCAGTGCCTCCTTCCCGAATTAACGGCAGGTTGTTTGGGAAGGAGGGATTGGCGTTCCGCGCTCCTCTCCTCCTGCGCTGCTTGTCGAGAGCAAAACCTGAACGCGGCTTCCAGGGAGAGCGGTGCTGTGCCCCCCCCGGGGGGCTGAAGCGCGTCACGCTGCGCCGCGGCCCTGTGTTCCTCCTGCTCTCTCTTGTTTTTATTACTCTTCCCTCCTCCTTTTTTACCGAGCAGCCGGTCTTAATTGCTCTTACAGTAGATCATCCAAAGTACATTACTTAAAGATCAGCGCTTTGAATTGATTTACAAAGCTGCACTTTAACTTGACATTTTTATGTTCGGCTGCTTATTTTTCTAATTACAGCTGAAAGGAAATTTGAGATAAGCATCATGTAATGAAGGAGCCAAAACCCCAAGGACAATTGGTTTGATGTTACATTCTCTGCTTGAATTAAGTGATGGGCTTTTTTTCTCTAACTAATTAGGGGCTGTGGAGTCGGAAAGGGGTGAGACCTGTTCCCATCTGCAGGAGCCTGCAAACCCGTAGGTACCCAGTGAGGTGAACGCTGACTCCCCAAGGATTCTGGAGGTGCACATCAGAGCTCCTGGCACATCTTGCTAGCAGGCTGGCAGCTGCAATTAAGAGCCGGGCGTGCAGGAGCAGCGCCTCGTCGTGGTGGCAGGGGCAGAGTCGAGGGCTGCCTGCAGCCCCAGCCCCACGAGCCCACCCTGCAGATGCTCCTCGGGGAGCTGGCCAGCATAGCAAGGCCACCCCTGCTCCTCGTTGGTGGGCCGGCTGGGGAGACGCCAGGGAAGCAGCTGTGGGGCACCTGCTAGCTTCCAACCTGTATTTCCCATGATAGATCTGTAGAGTAGCGACCCAGCTGGGAGAGCTCGGCTACAGGGCAGTGGGGCTGCAGGAGCCCCGGGCAGGGAGAAGGCTTTCCACGCGGTTACAGCCCACTTCCACTCTGGCCTGGGATGGAGCAATCCCACTTGAGCATCCTGGTGCAATGGCTTTTTTCTCTGGAACGTGTCCATCTAGTGAGTTTATTTCCTTGCGTTGCTTCCCTTCTTAATTGCATGTGAGGAGCTGTTTGACTCGAGCCACCTCTTCCCTCTTTTCCCCAGTTCTTCCTCTCCATTTCTAAGTGGGCGTTAATGCCAGATGGGTCACAGCTGAGGATGTAAACCATGCTGGTTCTTTTCTACATAGGAGTAATGGGCGAAGGGATTTCCGTGTGCAGTGCATGCTCCTTTTGTCCTTAGGCGAGGTCTGCGATGCTGAGGCACTCCGGGCGGTGCGCACTGAAGGGGTAGCTGCTGCTGGCCATCGGCTTCCCTGTCCTCGTAAATACAAGTGATGGAGCTGGCAGCCAAGAAACCTTGAGCTTTTTTAAGCTTCACACTAAAATCTCTCATTTCCACAGCCCGCAAGCTGAAGAAGCTGGGTAACCTGAAGACGCTGGATGATGGGGAGGCAGCCAGCTCGTCCAGCCCCACGGAGGAGCAGGCTCCCAAGATGGTGATGACTTGCATTGATGGGTATGAGTCCCAGCCCATCTTCCTCAATGTCCTGGAGGCCATTGAGCCTGGCGTGGTGTGTGCCGGCCACGACAACAGCCAGCCGGACTCCTTCTCCAACCTGCTGACCAGCCTGAACGAGCTCGGGGAGAGGCAGCTGGTCTACGTGGTCAAATGGGCAAAGGCCTTGCCAGGTGAGGAGGAAAACAAACAAATCCCGACCCATCCCCACTGTGTCCTAAAGCCCCTCGCTTGCATCGCCTGGGGCGGGTTTCGAAGGAGGCGGTCTGCAGCCCCTGCCCCACCGTCACGCAGCTCCACGGTGAGCATCTGCGAGGGTTGTCTGCTGTGGGTGGCTGGTCGGTGGGAGGGCTGGCCAGGGGGTGACCGAGCATGTAGAAACTCGCGCTTTTGGGTCTGTCCCTGCTGATGGTGACCCCCGGCACGCAGTGTTGCGTAGGCACGCATCCGCTTCCCTGCGCGGGAAGGGCTGTTGCTGGTCGGGGGCTCAGGGTCTTGCTCTCTTCCTGCTCTCCCTGTGGGGGTTTTGCTCCCCATCCAGGGCTGTGTCCACCAGCCCTGCAGAAGCCTTCCCTAAGCACGTGTGAGCCCCGTCCCGAGACCCACGTGGAGTGGCGAAAAGGGTCGGTTCCCCAGGCGAACCAGAAGTGTGCCGCTTCATGACGTGGAAGTGGGATGGGGGAAACCGGGCTGGAGGTGGCCGAGGCTTGAGAGATGGGAGAGGTCCTACCTCACCATTTTTGTGTTTCACAAGCCGACCAACTGTAAAACAGCAAAAGAGAGACACAAAATCTCAAGGGGATTCCTCCTCGCAGTCGGGCTGCTCCCGTGTGACAGGCTAGAATATATCTGTGATGCGTTCAGAGTCGTGATACGGGAGTCCGTTGGGACTGGGAAGTTCCCAGATGGTTATCAGGTGCTGTAAATGAAACCAGCCCGGTGATAGATGTGTGTCGTTGAATACGCTCCTTGTTTCCGAGCGTCGAGGCTACCGGTCCGTAACATGCTGCCGGTTGCGTGTCGTGATCCTGCCAGCCGAACGAGTGGAATTACAGCAGGCTGAGGTCACTCTGGGCGCAGCAGATCCTGATCACCTTCCAGCATCCCTGAGGCTGGGGCGTGGGGGCGATGCCAAGCTGCCTTCCTCACCCTGGCCCTGTTCCTCATGAAGTGCCCCAGAAAACAGGGATACTACTTCTTATGTGTGGGCGATAGGACCGAAACTGAGGCAAAATAGGTTTGCCACTGTATGCCAAAGCCTGGCGATGAACTGCCGTCAGACATTTGACATTCCCAGAAATGGAGCAGTCCCCCGGGAAGCGGCTGGACGGGTGGTCCGGGGGGGCGTTAGTCTGGAGAGGCTTAAGCGCAGAATAGCCCGTTCTGTGTCTTAGCTTCTTGAGTCAGGAAAGGTTCCCCTACGTTGAGAGCCCAGGGACAGATCATGCTTTCCGTTCTGGCTTATCTACATCAGACATCAAGATTTCTTCAGAAAAATGCATGGAGACGCTGCCGCACCAGACCGGCGACCCGGGGGCTGAGGTTGTAAAGCTGCAGTAGTGCTAATGGAAATTGAGAGCGCTTGGAAAAAAAATTTTCATCATAAACACCCCCTTATCAAAGGCTTTTACTCTCCTGCACTGCACCCATCTCTGACCACATGGTACCGGTGCTGCACTGCTGCCTCCTGGGGCCGGTGCCCGCTCTGCCACGGGCGGCCCGCCTCTGCCCGGCTGTTAAATCCCCCCAGGGGTGGGGACTCTGCCCCTTCCCCGGGTAGCCCATTCCAGAGCCCGACAGCCCTTTGGGGCAGGAATTGTTCCCAGTGTCACCGCTCTGGGCAGTCACAGTGAGCCCGCAGCCCCCTCCGCCGGCCAGGGGCTCGCTGACGGAGGCCAGCTCTCCGGCGTGGGCACGCTGTGCTGGGATGCTGCCTGGAGCTGCGGAGCCGGCGCTGGCCTGGCCACCAGCATCCCCGTGCCGGCAGCGGGAGGCAAAGCCAGTTTGTTTTCCCCCGCTTTCTCGCAGCCGTTCCCTGACGTGTGCCAGCACCGGGGGGTTCAACAGCAATAACCACAAATTCGCCGCGTAGTCATTCTCCTGATGTTTTCCAGGGAAGGAATAAACAACGGCAGCGCTGGTGCTGTGCTGGTGCCGCAGGCGGTGGTCGCGCAGCCCCTCCACCGAGCGGTCC